CGGCTGTGGCAGCTATAAGGGACTTAGAAATTCGAAAACAAGACAATGCTGACTTTTTTAATGATCAAGCTAATCTTCAACTAATAAAAGATTTTTTAAAATGTATGCTTGATATTAGAAAATTTATTACTGATGTTTCTCGGCTCGGTTCATTTGGTAACTACTTTCAGGCTGGTAATATTGTACAAAAATATAAGGATTTATCGGGTAGATTTGATGGGTACATGGCATCTTTAAATTTTGCCGTGAGCAAAGCTACTTATAAGAGCGTTCAAAACATAAGTCATAATTTTGGAAATGTTGATTTAGAGTTTGAACTCAAATCTATTAAAGAAGATTTGGCTGAAATGAAAAAGGTGATTTTTTTTTTCGTGTGATTATAAATTATTCCGTCTCATACTTATATATAGCATTTATTAAATCCATGTTAGTTCATGTTTGATATGTCTGATGGTAGAACCGGTCCAGACGAAAATACCTTTACAGATATCAAAAGAATTAGAGAGTTAAACGTCCGCTATCAACGGGAACAACGTAAAGGTACTGAAACCTCAATTGAACCTGCAACCTTCTTGAAATTAGACGAATACGAACCTAAATATGAATCTGAGCCCCGCAGTAAAACCATTCATTGTAGATGGAGTAATGCACTCCTTTTAGAATGTGCATTTAAAGAAATTCCTCAGATCGATGAACAAAGTGAAAAAGAAATTGGCCAACAAGTTGCTATTCTGAAAGAATTAAAAAATTCTGAATATATTATTAGGTTTTATGGAATAGCAAAGTCCAGTGACGGATCAAAATGTTATCTGGTGACAGACTGGATGGAAAATGGTACTTTACAGGAATATTACAAGACACATACATTGGATTGGAATAAAAAGTTTGAATTTTATTAGATTTATGCGAGTAATAAATTTTTTAATTGTTTGAATTTGCAATTGATATTTGTCGTGGAATTGCTTTCTTAAATGCTGTTGAGGTATAAAAAATTTCTATTCAATATTAATAACTTATTGTTATATATAAATGATCATACAGTTAATGTTAATATTGTCATAGATTTTACACCACGACATTAGAGGTGCAAATATACTAATAAACGGAAATCACAAGGCCAAAATTGCTAATTTTGGTTTAAGTCGTAAGTTCAGAGATATTACTAGAAATATTCAAGTTAATCTTGAGAATGTAAGATATATGGCTCCTGAGAAATTAGAACATGGTGATAAACGACCATACACTGGTAAATGTGAAATTTACAGGTATATATTATCAAATTCTTAAAATATTTCAAATTTCATAATTATAGTTATTCTAATTTGAATAAACATTGATTTAAATCAATATTTAGTTTGGGAGCTCTTCTATGGGAAATTGCTGAAGAAGCGATACCTTATACGAAAGAAGGAATTGATTTGCAGACAATTCGAGACCGTGTTGTAAAAGATAAATATCGTGAAAAATTTAGTTCAAATGTACCAAAAGTTTGGCAAGATATTACATATGCAGGTATTATTATTATTATTATTATTATTATTATATTTTTAAAATTAATTTTAAAATCGTAAATATTTAAGTATACTAATATATATATTTATTTATTTAGCTTTAAGTCATGATCCAGATTTTCGACCAACAATTTCTAAAATATTTACAGTTCTTTTTGATTATCACCATAAAGACGAACAAAGGCCTCAACCATCTATTGATGAATTTGAAGAAGATTTTATAATTGATGATGGTTTTATGACTGTGGAGCAAGCAGTCGAAGAGCACCGAAAACCCGACGGTAATAAACGAAGAGCATGGGAATGTTTCAATCAATATTCGGAACAAGGTGACATAACTGCAAAATACTGGGTTGGTTATTATCTATATCATTCTGTCCTTCCTGAGCATAAGGATAA